TTTTATTCATATAAATTAAATCACAATATATATTTAAATATAATGTACACTTCGTATTTAAATTTGGTCCAAAAAATTTGCTATGTATCACATTATATTAATTATTAGTTTTGAAGTTCAAAGTTATTCTGATTTTTTTTTATTGAAATATATATATTTTAAAAAACTTATTTTTATAATTAATAATTAAAATATTTTTTTTGTTATATTTCTTTTTTTGGGTTTTTCTTTTTTTAAGATATTTATTAGTTTTGTAAGAATAATATTTGTCTGTAAAATTTTATAAACTAGAATTATGATTTAAAAATTTTGAAAAAAATTCTTACTCTGCCTTGGCGGGGTCATTTAAATGGCCAATGAGCTAAGTATCTCTTGAGGAGGTGATTGAAGATAATGATTTAACTCAATTGCTGCGGTGTGGTTCAGTAGAGCTTCAGCGAAGAACCAGTTTTCCGATCAACTTGAGTTTTATCCAGCTTTATCAAATCTGGTGATTGAGATTGGTTTTAATTGATTCGACGAATCGAAGAAGTAGCAAGCAATTAAGTTTTCGAGCTAGGAAGCCGATAATTTGCAGAGACGGCGACTATGTCTGGGGAGAATCGTCATTACTCGCCGGAATTCTAGCCTTGCCGGTGTTTCGCGGTGACAGCTTGAAGCGGCGAAGCTCTTTTCTCTGTGTTACACTGTTTTGTCTTTTTCATCCTTATCTGTTCAACATGTTTGGGCTTAACTATTTATTTTTTGTAAACACGAGCTTATGGGTTTGAAAACTTGTACTGCCCTAATGGACTCTTATATGACCCAAAAAAAAAAAAAAAAATCTGGTCAATTATATATGTATCGATCAAATTCGATTTCGTTTGACCCAGTTTTCACTAAAAAAATCCTCTGCCGCAATGGACCACCAAGTAGAACCACCGGAGAAGAAGAAGAATTCGTCGCCCCCGTCGTTTTCTTTGCTCCCACACGATATCGCCGCGAGTTGCTTAGCCCGGATTTCGAGGTCTCAGTACCCGACACTCTCAATCGTTTCCAAAACCTTCCGCTCACTTCTCTCTTCCACCGAGCTCTACTCAGCCCGATCTCACCTCGGGAACACCGAGCAGTGTGTCTATTTCTGTCTAGCGGATTGGAGTTATCAGTTTACCCAATGGTACACCCTCTGGATTAACCCTAATCGAACCCTACCAGACTCCACGATTAAGAGGAAGAAGAAGACAATCGCACACCTGGTGGCTTCAATTCCTCGTCCTAATTTTCCTTCGGTGCCAAACCCCAACGGCGTAGCAACGTATGGTTCAGAAATCTATGTAATCGGCGGACTATACAACGAGCCACCGTCCTCCGCCGTGCGGGTCCTGGACTGTGGCAGCCACACTTGGCGCGATGCACCTAGCATGATTGTACCCCGGATGGATCCCGGGACATGCGTCTACAACGGAAAAATCTATGTAATTGGAGGGTGCCAAGACGACCAACAACCATGGGCTGAGGTATTCGACACAAAGGCTCAGACTTGGGAACCCCTCCCTGATCCTGATACTGATTTGCGTAAGAGTCTCATCTGGAGAATAGCAGAGATTGAAGGAACGATTTACATCGGTAATACAAACTATGGTTACGACACAAAGCAAGGTAAATGGGAATGCGATAAAGGTGGCTTCTTTGCAATCTTGCCGACCATCTCAAAATGTGCGGTGATAGAGAATGTATCCTACTTCTATGGTCGCCCGTGTTGTTATTATCCCCATGGTTGCTGGTGGTATGACGTCAAGGATGGTGGTTGGAAAGGAGTGGAAGGGTTAGACTCACTAGGAGATACGTTCGTGAGGAATGGTGGTGATAGCCAAGAGGGTCATGTCACTAAAGTAGCTAGCTTTAATGGGAAACTCTTACTTATATGGGCAGGACGTACGAGTCGTAATCCCAACGGTAGGATGAAGATTTGGTGCGCCCAAATCGCGCTTGAGAAGCGTGATGATGGAGGTGGGGTTTGGGGAAATGTTGAGTGGGTTGATGCTGTGCAGAGCGTCCACACAGGGTGTAAGCTCTTGCATTGTCTCGTTGTCTCGGTTTGATTGACTTGTTGTCCAAGGTATGATCAAATCGTTTTGAATTCAGTAGGATCTTATTAGAAAAGCATATAGGGACTTAGGAAAACGGACCCATGTTTGGTCAATATCCAAGTCATGTCTTCTTCTTCTTCTTCTTGCTCTGCATGCACACATGCATTTGGCTAAGTCAACAGAAATTTGAGTTAATTGAAAAAGTTCAAGCTCTTTTCTCTCTCTTCTGTTCGATTTGTCAAAGTTGAAGATTATTAAGTACTTTTTCTCCCTATCTATAGTATAATATGAATGTGTCCTTGACCAGTTGGAGAAAGGAGAAGGAAGCAGAGGCAAAAGGAGAGCACAACAAGAGTGAAGGAGACCAATTATTAGTTTAAGGTTAACAGTCACTTTTTTGGGTAAATGTAACTTCATTTTGTCAAACTAGCTACAAAAATAATTAGTATTTAGGCTTTGGATATGTTTATCTAAATTATAATCCCTGGTTTATTTCGAATATGTTTTCATTAGTTTGTGTTATTATTCTGGTGACTGAGACTTTCTTTTCTAAAAATTAGGGATGTCATGGTAAAACCAAAAATCCGTAGGTAGGACATCTGTGGTAACTGAGATTATGAGAAGTGACCAATAGACACCACAATATTGACTTCAGTTCAGTTCTATAAAATGACCAATATTGAAAAAAGTGAAGAGAAGAGAAGTTTCTTATAATCTACCAGGAGATATCAGATCATCTCTCCTATATTCTTATGTTTAAGAGTTACAACTTACATATATATCGATTTAATCAATGATAAAGTATCATGTCTCTTTACTGCATACAACCGGATGGAAAAAAGGAAAAATACATGTCTTTTATTTTTTTCAAAATTTAGGAAAAATAAACCTATACTGAAATTATCCTTTTTTCAATTTTCCATTCCTTAAGTTTTCAAGTTTCATAAACAACGAGTCGTTATATAACAGATTATACTAGGAGAGGTCATTAACAAAAACAAAAGCTCTTCCCTTCTCTCTCTCGGCGATTGTTGATTTGGGTCTAAAGTTAGGGTTTTGTGATATTCTCTCTGAGATTGCGTGATATTATTGATCTAGAGATGTCATCAAGGGCAGAGGAGCAATCGGAACTACCGTCTGTGATTCAGACACTTGCATCGCTTGAGATATCCGAGGGACGGTGCCGCACCGAACACTGTCTCTATATTCTCCTCCATCACATAAACAACGGTGATCTCCGTTGGTATATTCTTCACCGGGAACCCAACGGCAAAAGCAGTTTTGTCCTTATCCCCTCGCTTCCCTCTATGCCTTGCGATGGAAGCTTTGTCGCAGTGGGTTCGAGTATATACGTGTTTGGTGATGCTAACTATCAAAATAGGAGCACAACGAGTGCGTCAACCATCGACTGCAGATCTCACACGATGAAGCCCCTCCCTAGCATCCCTGTGGCTATGACTAACACAATCGCTGACATCATCGACGGGAGAATTTACGTAATTGGAAACTATGGTCATGACTCGAAGAAGGTGATGGTGGTGTTCAATACAGAAATACAAAGGTGGGAGGAGCCTACGGTTATAAAGATAGACCCTGAGATAGGTGACACGTGGCCTGGTTGTGTGGTGATGAGTAATAAGCTATACACGAGGGATTCTGATACCAGTTTTGTTTACGAGCCAAAGAAGAGTACATGGGAAACGGACGAGATGTTGAATTTTAGAGAGTGGGAGCATGCTTGTGTCGTCGATGACGTGTTGTACTACTATGATTATGTTGATAAGAAGATAAGAACGTATGATCCGAAGCAGAGTTGTTGGGGAGTGGTGAAAGCTTTGGAAGAAGTTTTGCCATTGATGCAGAGGTATACGGAATCATGTTCAGACATTCACATTGTGAGTTATGGTGGGAGACTGGCTTTGTTTTTCACTAAAGAAGAAATAAGAAGATCCATAGAGACTTGGTGTATAGAGACTTCGCTGGAAAAACGTCAAGGAAGAGAGATTTGGTATATGGAGATTTTGCTGGAAAAATGTCAAGGAGGAGAGATTTGGGGTCAAGTTGAGCAGTGTGATTGTTTTGTGACTGATAATTTTCGCGTTACGCATCCTCTAGCTGTTATGGTTTGATGCAAGAACACTTTCTTCCATATTATTCTGTTTTGTTTTTTTGCATCATAAAAAAAAAAAACTCTTTTTGCTGATTTTAATTTTGGTTTATCTAAATGAATTTATCCCGATTTGAGAGCAAATATATAGTTCGTTTTGAACAATGGTTAAAGAATGCTAGAATTCTTGATTTGGTTCTCTCTTAATAAAGTAGTTTCAACTTTGTTAAGATTTTAATTTTGCTTAATGAATTTTTTTCTTCTCTTTCAAAATTCCAATATGAGGTAAAATCCATTTTGCCTATCTTTTCTACTTTTCAAAAAACAAAATTTTGGCAAACATTTTTTCTATTTATACAAATTCCAATTTTATCATATGTATAGATTATAGAATATGTTAAAGTGTTCACGGTCAGAAATCCAACAAAATTTAAAAATCTAGCCATTCCAACAACTAAATTTCCACACAAAAAAAACCACTAAAAACTGGAGAAAGTCATTTGTTCAAAAACAATTCCAACAATAGTTTGAGTTTGAAATGAAAATCGATTTTATTATTCTCAAACATATTAAAAATACATCAGTTTCCATTAGCATATCCTTGCTTATCCTGACACAAAGAAAGATCATCCTCTAAAATAGATTAAGTTGACGAGTTAAAAAAAAAAAAAACACAGAGAAAGTGAAAAAAAAAAACAAAAAAAAAATTGGGGAGGGGAAGGTAGAAACAGGTCTTCTTCTTCTTCTTGGCAAATCCCTTCCCTTCTTCGTTTAATCCAAACCTTCGCTACGCTATCCACAAATTTTCGAAATCTCTCCGTAAGATGAAGCAGTGTGATCGTGGTCTCTCTCCCCTCGCTCCACCTTTCGCCATCGGTTCTTCCTCTCTATCTTTCTCTGCTTCTGAATCTGATCCCGAAGATTCCTTCTGGCGCGATTTTACTTTTGATTTCTCCTTCTTGACATCCGACGACCAGAAGACTGGCCTCGATGACGATGCTGATTCTCTTTCTAATCCGCGTCGCCATGCGGATGCGTCCACTGTTCCTAAAGGTGAAATTGATTTCTTTTTGTCCTCTCAAATGTATTCGTAGGAGAGATTCGCCACAAATTTGGTTTTCGATTTCTGGTTTATGAGCATAGTGATTGGAATCGAGATTGTTCTTACTCTGATGTGACGATTTGTGATACTTTCTTTGGAATTCTTGTAGCGGGAGAATCGAAGCTATACGGTTTAGCTGCTAATGCACGGCCTGTGAAAGACCTGGGAATAAGAAGAAGTGAAGATTCTGATTCGTTTCTCAAGCTCCCAAATTTTCTTGAGTCTGGCTTGAAGCGTGTCGATTCCAAGCCTCGAATTTCTACAGCCGACTCAAATGTTACCATGGTCGAGGGACGTTCTCAGCATTTTCCACCAACAGCATTGGTTCTTGGAGTTACCAGTATAACTCCAATGGCTAATGATTCTGTAGCTAATGATGATGGCACTGGTAATATTAGAGCAGAGGGACGGTTTCGTTGTGCCAAGGACAAAGAAGCTTGTGTGGGGAAAGTTCTGGTGAGCAAAGATACCAATGAAAGCAAATTTAGTCCTCTCTTCTCCAAAATGTCGGCGGCGCAGTGTTCGAGCGGTTCTGGTATTGACAAGCTGGATCTGTGCAGCGGCAACAGAACTACTGTACTGTCTGAGAAATCTTCTATAACTTCTGACCAAGATGATGACATTGAGGTGGATTCTCCTTGCTGGAGAGGAACACGGTCTCGCATCAAGTCATTGAGTTTCAGGCGTTCTACTGATGATTTAAATGTTCTTTATGGTTTAAATCCTTTGGCACCTCAGTTTATACCTTCAAATGCTAAGAAGAAGCTAGACAAGAAGGTGAAAGAATCTGAAGATAATGCTTCTCCGTCTTTGAAAAGGTCTCTGTCATCGACCTTTCCACCATCATCAGGAGAGTTCAGTGCAACCGATCCTTATGAAGCTGGGATTGAACAAGATTCCAACAGAATAGGGATCCTGTTCCAAGATGCAGATGAAAGTTTGGGTTTAGTATCTCAAGATAGTGCTTCCAAGACTATGAGCAATCAATTCCAAATGCCTAAAAAGCTGGATCCGTTGGCACCAGTTTTTGTTCCTGCCAATGCAAAACTAAGCGCCATCGTCTATGAGAAGCCTGGTGTAGCAGATCACATGATTGCTACTGAGAAAAATGCTCACTCGGCTTATGCTCCAAGTTCTTCAGACGATATGTTGCTAAATTGTGTAAAGGCTGAGACCAATTCTCCAGAGGTCGGCCACAGTTTTCGGAATCCATACTCTAATAATGTTCGTGAGTCGGGAAACACATATTCGTTCAACCCTCGGCTTAGTTCTCAAGTTCAGATTTCCGAGAATACAAGAGTGGATAGTTCGAGCAACAGAACTCATGGTTCAAAGAAGCTAAATCCTCTGGCCCCACAGTTCTCGGTAGCAGATACTAAACCACAAGTATATGGCTCTGATAAACACCAAGCTGCAAATCATTTACCGCCCATGGTGAATAGTTCCGTTTTGTTATCTCCAAATGGCTATAGTAACCATAAAGCACAATCCTCAGTGCATTTGGAGCCATCTTCAATTGAAGTTGGTACAAAGCAGATGGGATTTCACCGTCACCGTCCCAACATATTACATGGAAGCTCTTCTCCACAAATGGATGTTAAGAAACTGCTTACAACGATACATGGACTGTCAGAGTCGCTAACACATGTACATGGTTCAGAAACTTTAGACGAGCAAGATCTTGATCTCATCAACTGTACTGTACAGAATCTCAACTCGTACATCAATAACAGCGTACAGGCGACTACTGGGAATTATTCAAGCGCTGTACACAGTTCATGTGGTTTCAGGCCGTTGCCTAATATGCCTAAGGTATGTTCTTTTGACAACCTTAAAGTAGGTTCTGATGCATTAATTGGTGTGAGTGAGTTCATTGATACATCTAGAACCGCATGGAAAAAAGGAATATTTGCAGTTTATATCATCAATTCGGTTTCAAAGTTTGTGTTTTTATTCTGCTAAATCTTTTTTCTCCTAACTTCTGAAAAAAGGCAGGTGGGAGGTCGGAAAATATGTCATCATTTCTTGTAAGAATAGAGAAATGGTCATGTGTTAATGTATCTCTATGATTCCATATGTTCTCTATAGCAATCGATAAGAGACCATCAGATACCAAAGGCGAGAAGTATGAGTGTCAACGCTGATGTGAGAAGGAAAGAGAAGTACTCCATGGTGTCAGGAGAAATTGGAGCAGATTCTCAATTTGAAAATAGCGGCTTTGGCCAGGTATGGTTCTGTATTTACAGTGTATACTTCGAAGCATGAAAGTGGTGTTTCGAGGAAAGATAGACTATCGGATTGTAATGTGCACAGGTTGTAAGGAATCATCATCAAATAGAAGAGCAAATCAACCCACAGGTGTACTTCTATAGAAGTTTATGGCTAAAGGCTAAAGCAGACAGGTCTTTGATGGAATATGAAACATTTCTCTCCAGGACAAGAACTTGAGACTAAGGTGACATCATATCATCCCAAGTTTCATTTTACAGCAACGATGTTAGATCAATTATTATTTCTGTATGAGGGTCCTCTTGAGCGTTTTGTTCTTGGTTTTGCAGGTTGAACTTCAAGCGGCTCAAACAGTCAGAATCACTGAGCTGGAGAAAATTTTGCTAGCAAGTGTATTTGTAGATTGAAATGAGAATCTGATTCTATTGTTAAAACTCTTATTACCCAATCAAACCTTATGATCAGTTTTGTCATATCCTTGTAAGTTCTCAAATCTCAATATGCCAATCTTTTTGGTTGTAAAGACATCTCTTGTATCATTTCTTACTAAACTGTCTACAACATTAGGCATAAACGTTTCAATATTATAGATTTGAAGCAAACATTGTTTATGTTTGAGAGAATGAAATAAAAGTGGAGAAACACAAATGATGTTCTTGAGAAAAATGTTATATCTCTTGTATCATTTCCTGCTAAACCGTCTACAACATTAGACATAAACGTCACAATATTATAGATTTGAAGCAAACATTGTTTGTCTCAGAGAAAGGAAAAATAGCCTTAAATAAAAGTGGAGAAACACAAATGATGTTCTTGAGAAAAATGTAAAGACATATCTCTTGTATCATTTCCTACTAAACTGTCTACAACATTAGACAAAATGTCTCAATATTATAGATTTGAAGCAAACATTGTTTATGTCTCAGAGAAAGGAAAAAATAGCCTTAAAAAAAGTGGAGAAACACAAATGATGTTCTGAGAAAAATGCTAGCGAAATGAGAACTGAAGTGAAAAAAAGCGCAAAAGGACCATCGAGAGAGAAACTCAAGCCTATGTAGTGAGATCCATAATGGCGGAAACGATATCTCCGTCATTGGCTTTAAGAGCCTTAACGGCTTTGGCCCTTGTGACACCAGCTTGAGTAACGACGAGATCAATGTCCTTGGGCTCAACACCAGTCTCATCAACATCTTCATCTTCTTCCTCGATTTGTGCAACCGTGGCTGCTTCAGAAGCATCAGCGTTAGGGATCATAGACGCAACGTCTGGCATCTTGAACTTCTGAGCAGCTTGTGCTTGTAGCTGAGAGCTCATGTCATCGATCTTGGCCTCACCGAATATCACATAGGTGTCGGAGTTGGGACTCTTGAAAACATCTGGCTTCGAGATGACAAACAGAACCTGAGGGATGCAAGAACATAAAGAATCAAACATTGGTACACACACACAAAAGAAATCGATTTAAGAGAGTATAATTATTTAAGTCTTTTTACATTCTTGGATCTCTTGATTGTCACTCTGCTAACATCAGTGATAGGTTTCATTCCAAGTTTCAGCATTGCTTTGCGGCTTTTCTTCTCGCTTCTACTTTGCTTGGAGCTCTCGTTATCACCAGCTCCTTCACATACACATAGTCACAACAACATGAGGAACAAAAAACCCGAAACTTGGGAACTCCATAGAGATGTGATACATAAAGCATAATCACAAAGCCTAATTGCAGTACCACTGTTGAGTATAAACAGAGGTTCTACAAACAATTTCATAGAGAATTGAATCAAACACAAATCCACAAAACTATTCCGGAATGATTTCTAATAACTCAAATCAACATATGAGCAGAACGAAAGCAATCTATTGAACAGAAGAAAAAAAAAATCAAATCGAGAAAAGAGAATAATACCATCGACGTTCTCATCGTCATCGTCATCAACATCATCGTCGTCTTCCTCTCCATCTTTCACATCCTCAACGACAACATCATCTTCATTCTGTTCCACACGCAAAACAATCAAACAATGACGAATCGAAACAGAAAAGGACTCGCTTAAGAACCAAAAATAGAGAGAAAAAAAAGGGAAAACAAACCTCGAGCTTCATTTGCTCTTTGATGGCTTCCATCAACTGGTCCTCAATCTTCACTTCTTCAACAACTGGGCCTGGCATCTTCTTCAACCTCTTTGCTTCTTCTTCCTTCAGTTAACGAACGAAACCCTTAAAACAGCGCAGCGAGAAACTCTTAACCCTTTTCTGGCTTTCCTCAGTTTTCAGTGGCGATGAATAAATATTAAGAGGGGCGTAATCTAGTGCTTGGGGCTTACCCTATATCATTAGCCCACGTCCACCTAATATAAGGCCCGTTTATGTAGCCCACTGGACTTGTTATATCAGCCCAGATATTTCGCTTTTCGTAAAATAAGATGATAGATGCTGATGAATAACGCAATAAACAATTCTCCACGACTTTATCGTCTTCTCAGAGTTGTCAGCGTTAGAATCGTGTGTCAATTTAAGGATCGCAATAATACAGTATGTGTTATTTATTGGATGATAGTATATATTTTTAAATGAATTAGTACAATACAAATTATTCAGCATCAAAATGACCCCCAAAATTTGTTACTATACAAAAACATTACGTAGAAAAATGTTGAGTATGTTTTAGAAGGAAAATAAGCATATTTTCTAAAAGGTTTTCTTTAGCAATAACTTAAGCTTATTAAAATCAAAGAGACTGCGCTAACGTAAATTCAAAAAGAAAACCTTTTGAAGATATTTTTCAATTCCAAGAATATCGGATCAATTCGAAGAAATATTGAAGGATAAATGAGAATTTTCATATTCTTCGGATAATAATGAATATTTTCATATCACAAATATTGAAATATTCACCAAAGGCGAAAAAAGAAAAGGAGTTCACAGCAACCGACCTTCTATCCCTATAAATAAGAAGAACCTGAAGAATTAAAAGACCAACTCATACAATTTAGAGAGCAGGAGAGCAATACCTAAGAACTCGAAGCTTTCTAGTTTATCTCTTAAATACTTTTTCTTTCACTTCAGCATAATCTCTCGGTTATACCAATCTTTGTAATCGCTTCATCTTTAAAGCTATTAATAAAGATTTTATTCTCTGAAACCCACAACCGTTAATCATAAACCCTAATGGTAATTTTTTGGTTCAATAATTGGCGCCGTCTGTGGGGACTAGGAGAATAAATTATACAAACTAGCAAGAAAAGACTCGAAGTGATGAGCCTTCCGTCCGACAACAGCGATCTTATCCTCAATACAAAAGACACTACCACGCGTACTGACACGCCTGCTCTCGACGAGCACGGTAACCTCGTCATCAACACCACCGCGATTCCACCACCCACAGGAAAATACGCGATATTCGACGATTTCCACATGATCATGGGGGGAATGTTCCATGATGATAGCTCGCTCAGAGAGATTACGCGCCACGAAGAAAAGGCAGTAGAGGCAAAACGCAATCCAACTGTTCCGCAGAACGAAGCACCAGTAGACTTCGCAGCAGAAGATATACGGAGCTCGCATACACCACATATCGATCCATTAGTCATAACACTGCATATCCATGAGAGAACAGTCGCCAAAGCTTTGGTCGACAGCGAAAGCACCGTCAACATTATTTTTAAGGACTAGTTGGCAAGAATGAGCGTAGACAAAAGCGAGATAACGACAACGGCAAAACCACTAACATGATTCATGGGAGATACCTCCTATAGTATCGGCTCGATACAATTACTCACCTACATCGGCGGCATAGCCAAGAAAGTAAAATTTGCAATCATCGACTGGCAAACTATTTATAACGTTATACTCGGAACTCCGTAGGTCCACTGCATGAAGGCCGTAATCTCAACTTACCATCAATCCATCAAGTTCCCGACACCCACTGGCATGTTCACACTGCAAGGTGATTAATCAACAGCAAGAATATGCCTCCTAAGCGAGAGAAAGATCAGGATGGCAACTGCGTGTATGGTAAACGAAGACTTAGGCCCACACCTTCCTTATCACAAAAGACCAAAGCCCGAGCGAGTTATACAGGTAAGCATTGACGAGCAACACCCCAAAAGGACCGTCAGCATCGGCAGCGACCTCGCAGAAGATATTAAAACGGAGCTCGTCAAAATTTTGCGAAACAATGTGCACTTGTTCGCTTGGTCTATGGAGGACATGAAAGGAATAACACCAAAATTACGTCACATAGATAAACGTAGACCCTACGTTCACAAAACGAAGGAAGCTCGGCCCTGAAATATCCCAAGCAGTAACTGATAAAGTGGAAAAACTACTCGGCACTTGATCAATTATGGAAGTTCAATACCCCGACTTGTTAGCCAACCCCGTCGTCGTCAAAAAGAAGAATGGCAAGTGGAGGGTCTGCGTTGACTTTACCGATCTCAATAATGCTTACCCAAAGGATTGCTTTCCGCTCCCCCATATCGACTGACTTGTCGAATCAACAGCTGGGAATCAGCTACTTTCCTTTATAGACGCCTTCTCCGGATATAATCAAATCTTCATGCACCCCGACGACAGAGAAAAGGCGGCATTCATCACCGATCGCGAAACGTATTGTTACAAAGTCATGCCTTTCAGACTAAAAAATGTAGGAGCCACCTACGAACGGTTAGTCAACAAGATGTTTGCAAGTCAACTCGGTCGCACTATGGAGGTTTATATTGACGACATGCTTGTAAAATCTGCGATCACTAAAGATCACGTCAGACACCTCAGAGATTGCTTTAAAATCCTCGAGAAGTACGAAATGAAATTTAATCCAGCTAAATGCACATTCGGGGTAACTTCAAGAGAATTTCTAGGTTACGTCGTTACCCAAAGAGGGATATAAGCAAACCCAAACAGATCTCGGCAATACTAGATCTCCCATCACCCAAAAATACACGCGAAGTGCAGCGGTTAACTGGGAGAATTGCCGCGCTAAATAGATTCATCTCGCGTTCCACAGACAAATTTCTCTCTTTTTATCAATTACTTCGGAGTAATAAGCGCTTCGACTGGGACGACAAATGCGAGGAGGCTTTCACACAATTGAAGGAGTACCTGACCACCACTCCGATATTAGGAAAACCGGAGGACGGCAAGACACTATATCTTTACATCGCAATCTCAACGGCAGCAGTAAGCGGCGTCCTTGTCAGAGAAGATCGCGGCGAGCAAAAACCTATCTTCTACATAAGCAAAACTCTGGATGGAGCTGAAACACGTTACCCGGCCCTAGAGAAACTCGCCTATGAAGTAATTATATTGGCGCGAAAATTACGACCATACTTCCAATGTCACGCTATTGTTGTCTTCACCAGTCAGCCACTTCGGAGCATTCTGCACAGTCATAGTCAGTCAGGCTGAATGGCTAAATGGGCGATAGAAATTATTCGAGTATGATATTGACTACCGAGCTCGTACTAGCGCTAAATCTCAAGTTTTAGCCGACTTTATGATCGAAATACCGCCGGATCTACTGAACAACGAAACACTCGCAAAAAACCAGTGGAACCTATATGTCGACGGTGCTTCCTCGAAGTAAGGCTCAGGAGTCGGCATCTGTTTAAAATTGCCAACAGAAGATGTTCTTGAACAGTCATTCAAGCTCGGCTTCCCTGCCACGAACAATGAAGCTGAGTACGAAGCATTGCTCGCAGGAATTCGCCTCACTAAAGAAGTAGGAGCAAAAAATATTCACGTTTTTTATGATTCTCAGCTCGTCGCCAGTCCATATAAGGGGAATTACGACGCCAAGAATGAACGGATGGATGCCTACTTGAAACAAGTCCAGGAAATAACAAAGCAATTCGACTCTTTCGAACTAACAAAGATACCGCGAACTGAGAATACTGCCGCCGATGCGGTAGCGGAACTTGCATCGACTACAGCTCCAGCACTTCGCCGAACAATTCGAGTAGAAATCATCGAGCGACCCAGTATCCAGCTATCAAAAAGATCATGCAACATGGTGATAACCAGGAGGACGACATCGATGACCCAATGGAGGTGGATATCGAACCGTAAAAGCAGTCTTGGCAGGACGAGATTAAAGCCTATATGTTAGAAGGAACGTTCCCACAAGATAGATGGGCAGCCAGGCGCCTCCGAAGGAAAGCAGCTCAATATTTCATTCAAGACGGCGACTTATTTTGTTGGACAGCGAACAAAGTGATACTACGGTGTTGCAACGAAGCACAAGCAAAGAAGGTAATGGTCAAACTCATGAAGGAGCTGGCGGCAACCATTCCGGAGGAAGAGCTTTAACTTTAAAAATAAAGAAGCATGGGCTATTCTGGCCTAGAATGATCCAAGATTGCAAACAGTTCGTGATACGATGCGAACTGTGTCAAAAACACGCACCTATTATCAACGCGCCCACCGAACCCCTTCAGACCGCCGTCCCACCATATCCCTTCATGAGGTGGTCAATAGATGCAATCAGCTCTATGCCTAAGCCAGGTCGCAATCAACACATCCTGGTCATGACTGACTACTTTACGAAGTGGTTCGAAGCTAAGGCATATCCCAAAATAAAGGCGATCGACATCCAGCTTTTCGTATGGGAGAATATCATATGTCGGCACGGCCTCCTATACGAGATCGTTACAGATATTAGTTCGCCGTTTATCTCATCAACTTTTCGAGATTTTTGTGAGGGCTGGAGAATACGCATAAGCTACTCAACACCTTGCTATCCACAAGGGAATGGTCAAGCAGAAGCCTCTAATAAAACCCTTCTCGATGGTCTTAAGAAACGTCTAACAGACCTAGAAGGAAGATGGGCAGATTACCAAGTGCTCGATGAACCTTAATGGTTCAAAACCCGCAGCTAAATAACGAAAAGCTAATCAATACTCTTGACAACCTAAAAGAACTTCACGATAAAGCTTTACTGCACATTCAAAATTATCAGCAGCAAGTCTCTAGGTATTACAACAAGAAAGTCTGAAGTCGACTGTTCTCGCTTTATGACCTCGTCTTACAAAAAGCTATAAACCCAACAAAGCTTAAAGAGAATTGTGAGGGACCCTATCGCATCACGAAGATCTTTAAACCCAGCGTTTATATATTGGAAACAATGGACAGGGAACAAGTAGAGCGAGCTCAAAATTCAATGAATCTAAGGAAGTATTACCCTTAGGAAATATAGCTCGGCATATGAGTTTGCATTTGTTAAAAAGAACTACAGATGACTTGATCTTATATCGGGTACGTAGGCAACCTTCGGGTCCAGTCACAATTTAAATAAAAGTACCTTTATCTTTGCTAACCAGCTCGGTGTTCAAAGTAAATGGCATCCACGAGTCCAAATCGACTATAAATCAGCGCTCTGGCCAAGCGTTTGATTAATAAAAGCGTAAATTAATTCTGTGACTAATCACCACTCCTTTGAAGCTTCGGTTCAATTTAATTACTTCCGAGATGGATAAGATGAAAGCTGAGGACAACACTCGCACAACCCCTGATCATACCTTTTCGGGCCAAAGTGAATCCCAAAAAGCTTGGTATTCGATCTCGATTGTGGTATAAGACGAGCGAATGAATCTCGCCTCCAGCACCGGCCTAAAGGATGCCCCCGCACTGCAAGTCAAAAAATATTTTGACTTCGCAAATCCCTCAAAGTTAAGGGTCACCTCGTCAACGAGTGCTCGAAAGTATTGAAACGTTACTTTCGCTAAGAATTATTCTGTTTGATTTGCTTAAGCAAAACACGTTTATTCAAAATGTTATCTCGCATACATTTTTTTTAAAAAAGAAAAACAGCAACAAAGGAAAACTATTACAAAAAAAGAGGGGAGACAAAGATTCAACGCCACCTCGGCATTTGTATCCCATCGCCTCCAGCTCCGAGGCCGAAGGACGGATGTGAGCCTCCTTCAGAGCAGCAAAATCATCCTTAGAAATAAGAGCATCCTTGATCTTATAGCTTTCCACCTTTAGACGATTAGCACTAGCAGAATAAGATAGAAGCTCGTTGATAGGAACTTCATAACCCGCGGATCGCAGCTATTTGTAACAGTCCGCCCTCGCTTCAGCATCAATAATCTTAAAGTCAAGCTTATAATTTTCTTCTCCTTGCGCCATAAACGTCTTTATCCGGTCAATGCAAGGATCATACCAGTCGCAAAAACGTCGATACATTAGATCGACAATGTGCTTGATAAATTTGTGTTGCTGATCTCAGAATTCTTTCTTTGCGGCAGCTGTCTTCTTGGTCTTTTCGACCGACCTCTTCTCCAAATCATTCCTATGGAGTTGCTTCTCTTTGGCGGATTTAACTTTAAGACTCTGACATTTAAGCTCCAAATCCAGCTTTTCACACTCGAGTTCTTTGATCTTTGCCGACGCATTATAAAGCTCTCGATCTTTGGCTATTAACTCCTCAGCTCTATTCTCTTTTCGTGTGAATTCTTGATCATACGACTCAATTAAGGATGCGCATTAACCTAAACCCTGAACAAAATGCTGAGCCATTCTAAAAAAAACCTTTGAACTGCTTCAATTTCTCAACCGACACCCATGGTTCGGTTTCGCTCTGCACTGCCAGATCAAATTTGATGTAAAGTATTCATCAAGCATCGCCGGGGAGTCTCCATTCCAGCGAAGCAATAATTGATGGGAATTAAAACCTAAGCCAGCACCCTGGTCCTCTGAATCCTTCGGAAAAATGCTCGTATGATTTGGTGAATTAGCCTCCCGTTCTTCCGTCGCCGCAAAAACAGAGTCTTGTTCCTCGATTAGTGAAGCAGCCTTCAGATCCTCTGTCGGAATCTTTGAAGGAGAAGATCGCGCGTCTACAACAGCAACGACGGGGTTTTCTGACAAAGCATCCTCAGCAACAATTGGATCTTGGGATGGAGTCGCAGTCCGAGGCTTCTTGTTCGGAGAAAAATCGGGGATGTCTATTTCAAACGAAGGGATCTTGTCTCTCTTCCTTAAACCCATCTTTCGAAAAAGATGTGATCGATCAAGATCTGAAATTAGAAACTGAAAAGTTTCGACAGAAGAAAGCTCAAAAGATCAAAACTCGAAACCCGTGTCGAAAACCTTTCACCGTTCCCGCTTGGAACAAAACCCTAAGGGGCCGTGTATAAATAATTTTATCTATGGGAAGCGCCACGTGTCAGACCAGTTAAGGACGGGCCGAGCTGGCTATCGCAAAGGAACGCTCGTGACGAGCTGAAGCTTATTGCGAGATCAAACCCATTTACTTGATAAAGTCCGCCGAACTGATTTACAATCAGTCTCGCCGAACTGGGGGGGGGGGGGGGGGGGGGGGGGGGGGACTTATTGTTGAAGGGGAAATGAGCACATTTCCTAAAAGCTTCCTCTAGCAATAACCTAAGCCCATCAAGATCAAGGAGACCGTACCGACGTAAACTCAAAAAGGAAACCCCTTGAAGATATTCTTCAATTCCAAAAATATTGGATCAACTCAAAGGAATATTAAAGGATAAAAGAAAATTTCCATATTTTTTGGAGAATAAGGGATACTTTCATATCGCAAATATGGAAATATTCACCAAAAGAGAAAAAGAAAAAGGAGCTCGCAGCAACTGACTACCTATCTTTATAAATAAGAAGACCCCGAAGAACTAAAAGACCAACTCATACAATCTCGAGAGCAGCAGAACAATACCTAAGAACTCGAAGCTTTCTAGTTTATCGCTTAAACACTTTTTCATTCACTTCGGCATAATCTCTCGGTTATATCAATCTTTGTAATTGCTTCATCTTTAGAGCTATTAATAAAAAATTTATTCTCCCACAACCGTTAATCATAAACTCTAATGGTGATTTTCTGATTAAAAAGTATGTTTTTGAAATTTTATAGTTGTGTTTTGTAATTGTGAAAAGCCTGTTTGTGTTTTAGACAAAATATGATGAATGATGTAATTAATAAATGCTTATGTTTACATAATTTAATAATCAAAATGAAAGCAGTTGTGATACACCAATTGAAATTAGAAAAAAAAAAAAGCCCCATCAATTAAAATTCGAGGAAAACATTTTTGTGCATATAAGAATCATAAATAAATTGTGGAGACTTTAGTGTCAGTTGAGATCAGTTTGATCCTCTCGAATGATCCTTCACTACAATACACATTGTCTGTTTGTAAGTTTGGTTGTTGGCTTTTTAATAAATTGTGGAGATTTTAATCTCCAACTCTTTACCAAAAAAATCTCAAATAAATAATTTAAAAATATATTAATTAGCTGTTTGTAAAAAAAGTATACTACTTAATGTTCACTCTAAAGAAACTATAAGTTTTCGTTTTTTATATTATGTGGTAAGAATTGTTTTTTTAGTAAATAACATAATACACTAAATTATTGTCAAAAGATGGGTGGTGAATTTTCGATTTTAAAATTAAAAATTGTTAAAATTAATACGAAAATTAGAAAATAATATATTTAGAAATTATAAAAAACTGTAGATGTTAGAGAAAGAGAAAGACAGAAATGGGTTCACATCACTATACCATTCCTACCACATGTCCACATGTGATAATTAATACCGATGTGACTGGTTGTGTTGTTTACACTTTATCGTTGACTTGAAAACCACAATCATACAACAAAATCACAAAAACCATTTTAATTTGTGATTCTCGAATATACGAGACTAACGTACAAGACGGGGTCAACTTTGCTAAACAATGACCTCATTTCCACTGACGTCATTGTCCTGACGTCAACTATTCATTTGTATGTAAACGGTGAGACACATGTCTTATCTTTCAATTACTTCTTACAGATTTGCCAACTGTTCCGAGTATTGTTTATTTTATCATAACGCGTTTTTTTTATTGTGTCGCATGTAAACTGATTACACGTTAATGACGACGTCTTTAAATGTGGTTGGTGATCGCCTGATCGGAGATAACCCACACGGCTACACCAAACTGCACCTGTACTGTAAGTCTGTAAAGCTTTGTGATTCAATAGAGTCACTTAATTAATAATAACAACCTCTTTAATAAATAGTCAATATCTAGTAAATATAATAAGAATGTACTATTATAGAAAGAAAATATTACACAAACTATTAATAGATTTTTTGGCTGATTACTTAAAAAAAATCTATCTGTTGATTAAAGAATCATAATTTTTTTTGTGTCCGTAAATAAAATATGTGTCACCAATATTTAAAAAAAAATGGAGGAGAATCTCACAAAATCAAATACAGATTAGCCGACGTGGTAAACAACGTGCGGTGCATGTCCTTATATACTCAATCTATGACATGTGGGATGGGATTAGTATTACATCTCTCTCTCTCTCTCTCTCGCCTTCACTTCTGTTTTTCTCATCTCAACGCAATCACCCCAATCATGGTGGCTTCTGCAACATCCAAGCTCCTTGTATCCGACATCGCTTCCTCCGTTGATCACGTCCCTTCAAACTACGTTCGTCCATTCTCTGACCGTCCAAATCTGTCCGAGGTTGAAACATCCGGCGCCGTTTCCATTCCTCTAATCGATCTCCAGGAGCTCCATGGACCGAATCGTGCCGACATTATCAATCAGCTTGCCCACGCATGCTCCACTTATGGATTCTTTCAGGTAACTCCATGATTAGTTCACTTTCACTTGCGTTGCGAATTTACTCTGTTCTTTTTGCAATACATTCTTTTCTTTATACTAAATTCACTGTTTTATTGCAATATACACCCTTATTTCTCTCGAATTTACTCTTCTTTGTTGCAAGAAACTCTTTTTTCCTCCTAATATATTTTGTTTGAATTTTTGTTTGCAAGACATTCTATTATCATTTGAATATACTCTGATATCTCTTCAGTTTACTTTGTTTTATAACAATTCACTCTATTTTCTCTTGACTTTACTCTGTTCTACTGCAATACAAACTTGTTCTCTGATATATACTCTGTTTTGTAATGCAAGACGGTTTTACAAATTTACTCTGATTTGTTTTTCCTGTACACTACTTTTAATACCAATTTTGTTCTGTTTTATTGCATTTTACACCTTGTTTCTCTCGAAATTACCCTGCTTTGATGCAACAAACTCTGTTTCAAGCCTAATTTACTTTGTCTGATAATTTGATTGCAAGACACTCATATGTTCATTCGAATTGAGTTTGCTTTGTCTTGCAACAATTAACTCTGTTTTCTTTTGAGCTTATTCTGTTTTACTGTACTACAAACTTGTTCACTCGAATCCACTCTGTTTTCAATGCAAGACAGTACGTCTTAGTACAAGAGACAGTATGTATTCTAACGCTGTTTCGTTCGACTAAAACGTTACTGTTTCAATTTTTCAGATCAAGAACCATGGAGTACCAGAAAAAACGATCGAAAGAATAATGACTGTGGCGAGAGAGTTTTTCCGGCAGCCAGAGAGCGAGAGAGTGAAGCATTACTCAGAGGATCCAAAGAAGACAACGAGACTCTCCACAAGCTTCAACGTCGGCTTAGAGAAAGTCTCTAACTGGAGAGACTTCCTTCGACTCCATTGCTTCCCTGTCGAAGATTTCATCAACGAATGGCCCTCAAGTCCCGTCTCCTTCAGAGAAGCCACAGCCGAATACGCCACAAGCGTTAGAACCTTGGTCTTGATACTTCTTGAAGCAATCTCAGAGAGCTTAGGCCTTGTGAAAGATCGTATAAGCAATACATTAGGCAAACACGGTCAACACATGGCCTTAAACTACTATCCACCGTGTCCCCAACCCGATCTAACTTACGGACTTCCCGGACATAAAGATCCAAACTTGATCACTGTTCTTCTTCAAGACGAAGTTTCTGGTTTACAGGTCTTTAAAGATGGTAAATGGGTCGCTGTTCATCCTGTTCCCAACACTTTTATAGTAAATATCGGCGATCAAATGCAGGTACTTAGAGAGAAAAGAAATTGAAAAACAAAAATCATCTGTTTCTTCAGCCTCTTTGTGCTAAATCTCTGTGGTTGTTTCTTCTCTCAGGTTATAAGCAATGACAAATACAAGAGTGTGTTACACAGAGCGGTTGTGAACAGCGACAAGGAGCGGATCTCGATTCCGACATTCTATTGTCCTTCTTCAGATGCTGTGATTAGTCCACCGCAAGAGCTGATCAACGAGGAAGAAGATTCTCCTGCCGTTTACAGAAGCTTTACATATGCTGAGTATTTTGACAAGTTTTGGGGCAGAGCACTTGCAACTGAGAGCTGTCTTGACTTGTTCAAAGTTACTTCCACCTCCTAAGATTCGGTACTTCAGAATGAATCAGTCAGGACTAGGTTTCTTTTTGTTATTGAGGAATCTTAATACCCCTTTGTGTTAGCCATTTCAAGATCAGTAGTTTTCTTTAGATTATTATGATTGTTAACAAATCTGCTTAACAAGAATAAAATAAAGTGTTCTTGCAACACATTATTGTGTTGTAGAAATCATATATGGGTTAGAATGGTGTAGATAATGATTCAGTTTTGCAGAATAAAGATGAGATTCAGGAAAGTACGATAAGATAATCATTTCCATAGAGGCTTAATCCTAATCCTATTAACATCGTTCACATTCAACTTAACTAAGTTAATTAAGTGGTGGTCTAGTGGTTTTCCTCCCTATTTGAGGATGAGTTATCCTATTGGTATAAACTAGAAATCAATTCTAATCAAGTGATGGTGGTGAAAATATTTTTTTGTAATGTTTTAAATTAGTGAGTTAATAAACTAAATTGTTTTATCATTCTCTTGAGCTTATTGGATTAAGATTTAGGACATTTAGAAATCACTTAAATTTTTAGATTTGAGAAAATTTTGCAAAATTATTATTATAAATTTTTTAAAGATAATTAAAAAAGATTTGAGAATATTTAAAAATAATTTTCTTTTTCAATTCTATTTTTGTTTATTTTTAATTTTGATAATCCATCCCAACCTCTTCTGATACCCAAGAATCAAATGTTTCTGAAATCTTGGTTCAGAAGGTAAATCATTTATATTACACTTAGTTTTCACATATTGAAGAAACAATTTGATTAAACATTTAATTCTGTTCTTTGATGTGTATATTTTTTGTTCATATACAAGTGTTTATGGAGTTTTTTTCTGAAGCTATCCCGATTAGAATCAAAAACTTTTCTAAAATCCATTTTGTATCTCCTGAAGATGTCTGTTGTCGGATGAGTCCAAGATCACATTTTGTATATATTTATGTCCCAATTTTGTAGTTGGCGGAACATGCATTATGCGGAACTAGTGTGATTAATATTAATCACATCAGTCGTGTATTGTGCGGGACATGCATTATTCCGAACTAGTGTGATTAATATAAATAGTGTAGTGCAAAACAATTTTTGACTGGTGAAAAAACAGATAGGGGTTCAAAATAATTTTTGATTGGTGAAACTATTAACAAGCAGTGTAGAATTTAAAAAAAAGTAAATATAAATAAAAGATTAATATCATTATCATCATTTTTTTATTTAGCGATACAAATAATAACTCAGGCTTCACTTTTACATATATATCTGTCTCATTCATAACTCCAAAGAATCCACTAAAAAATAGATAAAATGTTTGATCTATGAAAAGTCTTTCAGGAATCTGGTGTAGCTCTTCTCTTGGTGGTACCTAAATATAAATATATATTTTCATGATTATAAAGATTATGCAAACTTACTAATTTACGCTTTTTCCACCATGCATCAGATGCTTAGATCATGGATGTCTCAGAATTCATCGAAATACCAGTGAAACTCATAAGAGCTTTCTATCTCTTGTAATTTTGTTTTGAATTCATCAAGCTTGTTTTTTAAATAACCATAAGTTATATTCGTGTTGAACGCACTGTTGAACTTCTCAACCATATACTCTCTTCCAAAAGGATTATGATTCTTAGTAGTGTAATTATTCATCACAATTACTTCAAACAATTCTATTAAGGGTTTTTTCATTATGTACGACCATTTGTATTTCTCTTTGTCTTTTTCTACAAATTTTAAAATTATTATGTTAATTATTTTATTAAATTTATAGAATTGTTCAGGAGCAAATTTCGGGATGCCACGTGGAGGTGTGTCATTCGTCCGGGGAGTGGAGTTGTGCCTCCGAGTTTTGTCCTCTGGGGGAAAGGAGACGAGACGTTCCAGGGCGGAAGCTGGTTGGGGTCCCGTCAGTGGGACAGTAGACGAGTCTAGCCCTGCAAGCACTACACAAAAGGTCAATCGAGCCTCCGGGAAGACCGAAAGAGGATTTTCCTCCCGAAGGTTCTGCGACACCTAAGTCAATGAACGCCCTACCGGGAACAAATACTCAGGAGGGTGTTTCTCTATAGGTTCGTGGTAAGAAGTCTCATCTGGAGATCGAGACGTCTATCTGTTTACTGGTGTTTCTGGGGGGTTCTATATCAAAAAGGAAAGATTCGACGAGTACAAAGGCAGGATTCATGGTAAGAGAAGGACTTAACCTGATAGACATCATCTCGAGGGAACGGGGAGGTTCTCTCTTAATTATGCTGCTTGGTGGCGTGAGCCGGTTCGAGGTGATCGGGCTTCCTTAGAATGAGCTCCGACGATCTTTCCTCCTCTCATCTCCATCTCTCCATCTCTCCTCTCCATCTCTCCATCTCTCCGTCTTCGCGTCTCCCGTCTCCATGGGGAGGTGCTCTCCTTTTATACAAGTCTTCCGTCCTGTCCTCTCCATTCAGCGTGCCGGAGGATCATGTGGGCTAGTGATTCATGCGTGTTTGGGAAAACTTTCCAACTGCCCGGGAACAGTGCATGGGAGTTTTTCAGCCGAGCTAGCATGGCTTGTGTCAGTGTCTAGGGCAATTAGGTGTCCACGTGTCGAGTTGCCCTTGGAGGCGGTAAAATCAGTCCCAACAGTTGCCCCCGACATCTCGACTAATTAGGAAATGAGTCAGGGAGTTGACTTCCTTTAGGTTTCCTGCACGATAAACACGAGTTATCGGGTTCCCTAAATGTTCTGCCATCAGAGGTTACGCTGACGCGACGACCTTGCTGCGTACCATAGGGGGTATGGTACTAGTCCAAGCGAAGCTAAGTTCTTAAGGGCGATATTTAAAATAAGGACTCCTCCTAGCCGTGCCACGTATTCTGGTGGAGTACAGTACTGGCTAGGAGGTCCGCACTTTTGGGGAAGTGGGAAAAGACATCTACTCCAACCTTGCCATGCATTGCGAAGGATCACGGTTCTAGTCGGAGGAGCGAACGAAAGGAAGATTTCAACTCTGACCTTATTAGTTTGTCCCGGGAGAGCACGTTATTGGTCGAAGGAATTACACTTCCAGAGAAGCGAACCGTAGGGCGGCTTAATAGATGTTAACTTGATATGGCTCAGGTTTTACCCAAATAAAAACTACTGCAAGTTCACAACAAAGCAGTCGTAATATAAGGGGTATCGAATCCCAAAGGAGTATGTAAACTACACTAGCGATTTCAGATTCAGATTAAGTCAAGCAATAAATAGTGTATGTAATGCGAAATAACAAAATAAAAGATGGCACGCAAAATTTGTTTGATCTAAGACTCATAAAACTAAAAAGGCTAAGTCAGGACAATTCGCAGGTTGATTCTGAGAATGTAGAATGCATGAAATCAGGAATGATAAAGGACTGTCTTGAACATGAATCACAAATATATAACTTATCAGTTCTCATTGCAGAAGTTAACTATGTCTAAATCACAGAGTTTTAAATCTCTTTGCAAACCCTAACAATCTAAACATGCAGTAATGATCAAGTTGAATTGTTCACAAAAATCCTAAGCCAAATCTCTTTGCACTATGTTGTTTTGCTCATCTAATGCTAGATCATGTTATCAATATTGCTCTCACATCTGTTTAACAACCTATGATTTTTGGATTTCTAGATGATGTGTCTAAGAAATCGATTTTCAAGCAAGCAGAGATGAAGAACTAAAAGATATTCCTAACAGATAGCAATTCTACAAACTCTTTATCAACCTTTGAAAATCCCTAACTTAACTAAAAAACTACTCAGACATGGTGAATGGAACAAACATCATGAAAAGAATAGATTGCATAAAAGAAATAAGAAATAGACATAAAGGAGTTTGAAATCTGCTCTGAAGGAGTCTGATTTGTCTCTCTAAAAGCTCTGCTACAAATCTCTCTCTAAAGCTCTCGAAAAGAATAAGATACAAGATCCAAGCCAACAATGGCTGAAAACCTAATACATACAAGCTAAAAAACGATCTGGGATCCTTTTGCAAATACTGGAACTTCGGGGCTAAAACTGCAATTTTTTCCTAATCTTTTAAAAACCAGCCACGATCCTTTCTCTACGGGTGACGAGCGTCACCCAAATCCACATTTTTCCTTCCGAGTTGCACACTTCGTGGCTTCTTCTTGCAATGCTCCAAAAGACTTCAATATATCCAATTATGCTCAAGACATGCTATAACCTGCAAAGACTCTATTAGGACTCTAAAAAGACCAAAAAGACTCAATAAAAAGGACTTATACCATAAAAACCATGATATATCATAACTCTGGCCTTATTCGTATCTAGGGGGTATGTTACTGGCCGAAGGAATTACACTTCCGGGAGAAGCAAACCGTGAGATGGTCAGACTAAGTTTATAGTAAGAGACTCGCCCCATCTTTGTCACAAATCCGAAGTAGAACGCCATTGGCCAGGGAAGTTAGGTGATGGGGTCCTACTCTGATTGGGGTGCGCATCCGGAGGTGTACGACACTTGCTCAGGATAGGAGGATATTGGCGCTCTCGGAGGAACTGATAGCTTGGCCACTAGTGGACATCTCCCCGAAGAGATTTTACTTCTTGTTTCGTGAGGCACTAGACAAAAAGCCATCTTGCCCCCTCTCATCGTGGTCATGAGAGGGGTTATAGTCCTATGTGACCATGGGGATCGACATAAGAATTTGACGCGGGCTAAGACACCGGCCCAAGGGCCAAAGGTGGCACCATTGGACGGATGAATATATGTTCCCTGCACCGCGGGGCGCTAACGCAAAGGGGAGTCGCTACTCAAATGCAACTGGTGCGGAGTAAGGCATCTCCCGAGGGCGTTACCTCGACTCCCTTACTGGCTGGACAGTCTTCGCGTTGTGCTTACGCTGAAGTTTCTGAGTTTTAAGAACGTGCTTGTGACATACCCCGAAGGGAAGAAGTTGGGGACATTAGCAGGAAGAGAAAGCCTGCAGGTAGGCGAACCCAATTCCCGTTGTGCCTAAGTGGCAAGTGTGTCCTTGGGAGGAGCACGCTATTTGTCGCACGGCCCGCTGGAGGGGATTGGCGAGGAAGACCCAAAAATCTGCAAAGCCGGATTCTCAAACTCCCAGAGAAGGGATACCCCGGAGGGCGATTAAGTCAACGAGGGATCATGCTAAGATGCGGGCTGTCCCCGAAGGGAGCGGCTGCAGAAAGAGCTGCATGGGCCTGCTGGACCGTAGTCCTGAATTTCCTGAGGAATGGTACCCTGGAGGACAAGCAAGTCCGCAAAAGAACATGCTAAGAAAAGAGTTTTGAAAAAAGGTGGCGTGTCAGGTAGTTATCAAACACATGCATACAAGAAACAGATATTTAAGCAAGACATATGATCATGGAATCGCATGATCAAGTAGAGAATCACATAATCATGCTAGAAAGGATTCACACAATCATGCAAGCATGAAATTACA